CATTGCAACAAAATGTACCAACAACGTACGTTAGGGTCGTTGGTGGCAACATTTTTCCAATGGCATGTTCTCTGGTTATGACTGTCTGTTATCTTCCTAATAGCCATGCTTTGATCCATGCGCAAAGTTCCTCATTAATTCCATAGGTTTGGACTTTGTCAAAGGATTTTGCTAAGTTTGTAAGATAACGTCTATATGTGTACCTGAAATGATTCAGCGCACCATTATTGAAAAAATTGAGTATTTTTTGGGGCGTTTTAGCATTCAATATCCATATCCTAATGTTTACTAAAAAAGCAAGAAATTATTTTAATTTATGCCCACAGTTAAATGTAATTAATTTATGTATCATGCTTTTATTTATACTAAAATACAAGTAAAAATAGTTATGTTCGTTTATTTGATATGGTAACATATCAAATAAACATAACATATGGTAAAATAATTAAACAATAGTCAACAGGTAAAAATATTTAATCTAATAAATGTCAATGCTATCCACATGTCAAAGTAGCCCCAAGTTATCTCAGACCTTTCTCAGCTTTACTCTACACATGACACTAGTAGCGGTCTGGCTCTATATATATTACCGGCCATAACAATAATTGAAGAGCCCTCCCGACTATACGTATATCGCAAAGACTGCCCAGTCCGCAATTTTCAAAAAATAAGTCCTAAGAGAAACAATTAAATCACAGAATAATAAAATTAGATTGAATTAAAAAAGTACAAGTGATGTGCAATTTTCACAGTGCAAAGTATAGCTATAATTATTCTTAATAACAGTTTGCACAATTCAGAGGACGAAGATGCATATCTTTGAATGATCGTATCATACTCAAGGCTATCAAGTAGATTTTTTTTCTAAAGACATTAACATATACAACTCTAAGTGGTCATTCGATATTGCGAATTTCGCAATCTTATCTTGGTTAACTTTAAATTAGAAAACGATCTTTCACCTTTGGTTTGTGTTACAAAATTAGTATATATTTTTTTATAATTATGTTACAAATTGTCATAGGTTTTGTCGTTGAGTCTATATGCAGCAAGAAATCGTAACACATAAGATCGACACGATCCACATGCTTTATTAATATTTTTATAACAACGCGGTTAATCTGGATGATCCTTTTGATCTGCATTCTCTCTCAATGTTGTCGTTAATGGCAAAGATAATTTCAAAATCTTATAGTTAATCACAAATGACAACAGTTTGGCCTTTATTTTATCAACATCGGCATCTGGTAAAAATTTGATAATGCTGGGTTAACTTTTGTATCAAAACATGCCATGTCCATATATAATTGTCAATGTGAAGTGAAACGTGACTCAAGACTTTGGACTACCTGATCCATCACCGCGTTGTAAGTGGGAATTCTGTATGGTTCCAAAGCTTTATATTCGTCATGTATGATCATCTAACATCATTTGTGTCTTCCGCTTCCGTTTAACAGCTAGTTCTGTCTTCACCTCTAATATGGTTTCAGCTTTCTGGATGATGCTTGCGTTAGCTATCCGTACAAATTGAAGAGCGTTATTATGAACATCATCAAAAAATCTTGATTGACTTTTCAATTCAGTTGCAGCCTTATCCACCATCTTAAATGCAACCAACACGAGTTTAATCCGCGAGTTGCAGGTATATTGAAAGTGATCCCACTTTTTCAAAAATGTGCAGGTATGTAAAGGCAGTCAAAACGGTATCAAATTTCAGGAATGGCATGAGGAATGTCTTAGCTTCATGACGTGTTTTTGCATCAAAATTTTCTGATTCGCTTATAAATGACGGACAAAAAATTAAATTGACAAACACTGTTGAAGACGGCGCAGCAAATGTTCCAAATATCGCCGTTGCAGCATTTGATTTACCCGACCACCTTGTTTGACCAATCAATTTCAATCTTTTTATCTTATCTATTCCAATTTGTGTTTCAACAAGTTTAATCCAAGTTGCCATTCGCTTATATGACACTTTTATGAATGTTGAAACATTTTGCTAAAGGTTAAAAAATGAAACTGCCTGAATGCAGCAACTGGTTGCCTTCTTCACAACTAAGTTGAGAACATGAGCATAACACCAAATATGTACATGGTGGTCTGCAGCTTCTGTAATCTTTTATTACAGTCCGTTGTACTGGCCATGATAACTTGAAGCACTATAAGTGGTATCCGATAGGCAGTATTGCAAATTAAAGCCAAGCCGCTGTAGCGTCAAATTTAAGAGATCGAACATGCTTTGTCCAGTACCGTCAGTGTTTGGTACAATAGAAAGCAGCCGTTCATGCACAGTAGCATCTAAAACAAACGACAAAACTGAATTGATCAATTGCAGATATATCTTGTGTAGAATCAACTCGTACGGAGTACACTTTTTCTTTAGACACTTTGGACAATCTGTTCCTGCATCATATTTTTCTTAATATTGAGAAGCTTTGATATAGTAGTCTTACATGAAAATGTATCCAGAGCACCACGACCTTTACTGTCGGCTTTACCTTGACGTTTCAGTTTTTTTATTCTTTTGATTAATATCTCTTGACACATGGAGAGATGAGAAGCTAAAAGAGGGTCATATTTGGCCAAGAGCTGTACCAAAGCCAAATTTCCATGATTTTCTTCATCATGAGGTGCTTTAAGCTGACTAAGACAAAAAGTTTTATTTATGTGTTGCATAAACATTTATGCTTATAAACATTAACTTTTTCAAAATTTACAGGCCAATGTTCAAAACATATAAGTGTATTTGCTTTCAGGAATATTTAGACAGTCTAACTTTTTTACTTCCGTTTTTAAACCTTTATGTACTACATTCAAATCATTTTGAACATATTTAAAATCTAAAAATATATTAAGCAAATAATTAAAATATTATCATCTTAAGTTTAACAAAAAGTATTATTAACATCACAAGTACAATATTATATAGACAAAAAACATTAAACTGATCTGCGACGTTACCAGTTAATAAAGTGTTTTTACCTTAATTAAGTTTAATTCAATTTCTTTTCTTTAACTATTGGCTAATGATCAATATAATAAATTTCAAATCATTAAAATTTACCAAATTGAAACCATATTTCAACAGTTCAATACAATTTAAACAAAAGGTAGAACTAAAGAAATAAAATTTTAATTGAATATAAAAACCATAAACATATTTTAAACATAATTAAAACCTAAATAAATAGAAAATAAAAAAAACATCATACTCGCAGCTTGTTCATAATCTATAATGCTAAAAATAAAAAATAAATAAAAAACTTGTTGGCACTCTTACTAAAAAAAACTAAAACTTTCAACTCTATCTTGTTGGCACTCTTACTAAAAAACTAAAACCTTTAACTCAGATATTTTAATTCAAACCTATCTATATTTTAATTAAAACAATCATACTTACAGTTCTTTATAAGATTTTTTAAATTATTTTAGAAAAGACGGGTCTCCATATAAAGTAAGTTGCTAAACCTAGGTAAGGTATAAACTAATAATTGATCAAGAATGCTGTGCAATATCTGACTACTATCTAACATAAAACACATACATAACAAAGAATAAATTTTTTTGGTAAGATTAAGTATATATATCTCCTATATATCTCCTCGGCTTACAACTTACCGTCAGCAAATTAAAAAGCAGACGGTCACTATTTTTTTGACGTGCGCGATTTCTAAATTTTCAATTTAATGTTAACATATAAAAACATCCAAAAAACAATCTTATACGCTTAGATTAAATGACATTGCATTAGCAAGTTCTTATGATTAAATGACATTTATTGTGCTAATAATTTTAATTAAAGTACTTAGTTTTTCATAAATATAAGAATATTTTTAGAGTTTTTTAATGATTATTTTGAAATTATGTAAATAAATAAAAGTATTATCACTAAAAAAAAGAATTCTTGCATTTTTAAAAACACGTCTAAAAATTATTGGCAAGCGTTAAAAAAAGCACTGACCGCAATATTGGCTGGCGTGTTGACAAACGCAAAATTAAAAGAGCGCAAAAGTGCTTGCCAAACGGAGGCGAATGATATATATATATATATATATATATATATATATATATATATATATATATATATATATATATATATATATATATATATATATATGTATATACACTAGTGATCAAAAGTTTAGACTCAGAATAAAACTTATAGTTTCTTAGTGATTTGTGATTTAAAAAAATGCCTTTTTTGTTTTGTTTTTAATTTTATTTTTAATCCAGTTTATTATTTATGAAATTCTCTTTAATATATATAAAAGACTTGAAAAGAAAAACAAGTTTAAAGTATTTTATTTTGAAAATAGCAAAATCATGTAAAAAGATATCTATAAAAATCTTGTTCATAAGTTTAGACTCAGGACTTTTCACTTTAAACTGTAAGTCAAGTTAATAAGGTATGTGACCGCCTTTGTTAGCTATGCAAAGTCTACATCTTCTTTTAATAGATTCAAAAAGATTTCGACAATATTCAAAGGACAAGCCATCAAACAACTCTTTTAAACTTTTTCGTAGTTCTTCAGCTGAAGTTACAGGAGCTTTGGTCAGTTTTCGATCAAGCACAGACCATACATTTTCCATTGGATTTAAATCTGGCGATCTAGCTGGCCACTGGAGTAAATTGATTTTATTTTCTTTAAACCAAGCTGTTACTGTTTTTGCTTTGTGACAAGGGGCATTATCTTGCTGAAATTTCCATTCTGGCTCATCTCCAAAAAATAAGTCTCTTGTTGGAATCAAATTATTTTCAAGCGTCTCAATGTATCTGTATTGATCAATTCTACCAGTGTACAAGTAGCATAGTCCGGGTCCATCATACGTGATACAACCCCAGATCCCAACTGAACCTCCTCCGCCCTGTAACCGAGGTACAATGAAACGATTATGAAACTTCTCATTATGGTGTCTTCGAACAGTTACTCTTTTTTTTCGATTAACGACTGCATAATTCGATTCGTCGCTGAATACAATTTTTTTTATATCACTATCACTCATCTTAAGAATTTTCTTGCAAAATTGTAGCCGTTTGAGTCGATCTGATCTTTTAAGCATTGGTTTCTAGCAGCAGTATACGAGCATAGTTTACGATCAATTAATCTTCTATTTACTGTCTGCCTTGACATGTCATTTTTAAGAGCTAGATTTATTTCTTGAGCAATTTGTTTGGCACTATACTTAGGATTTTTTCTGGCAATTCTGTATATACTATTATCATCAGTGGTAGTTGTTTTTCTGGGTCTTCCGGATCTGATTTTATCTAATGTGCTACCTGTTTTTTTCCACTTAGCTATTGTTTTAGTGACACATGACTGTGATACGTTCTTGAGAATCAACTGAACTTTTCTTGTAGAATTACCAGCAAGGTGCAAGGTGATAATTCTTTCTTTGATTTCTTTTGATACTGATGTTTTACCCATTTTCTAAATATTTTAAATGCAAATAATGAGTAAAAATTGTATATTTTGATTAGCGTGCACTAAGTTAGTAAATAATTTAATTTTTAAATGGGTTTAAACATAATATTTTAGAAAATATATTTTGATCCATGTTAGAATTACAATCTTTAAAAAAAAAGGTTAAGCACTTATATGGAAATAAAGATAGAAAAAGTGAGTCTAAATTTATGAGACACATTTCATTTGTTTTTAAATAGCGCTATTATTATAAAATAAAAAAAAAGACCAATATATAAAATAAAAGGTGTGTGTTTTTTGTAATTATGTTAGAAACAAACTAAATAAGTTGAATTAAAAAAAAAAATTTCAAGCATTATCTTAATAATTTTTTTTTAGCATTTTCAGAGCTAAGCTTAAGAGATTTTTTTTCTGAGTCTAAACTTTTGATCACTAGTGTATATAAGTTATTTACAACCGCAACACCATAAAAGATTATTGCTTATAACTGTTATTGGCGCTTCAACACACTCTATATGGAACCATTCTTTGCATAACCCACATTGTATCATTGGTTTTTCATTGCTCGGCATTCTGCAATTGCAATATATATCTAAAAATTTGACCTTTGAAATATGTTGGGAAATTCTTCGCGGCTTAGATGGAAACTGTGTCAACTCTAATTTTTTAAATGACTTTAACAAATGTTTTCTCATATCTTCCTGAGTGTACTTTACAATAGATGGATCTCCTCCAAAGCAAAGTTCACAAGCGTTTGCAAGTGCAAAAAGTCCACAGTCATCTGAACCCAACTGATACTGAACATTTACATATTCAATTTTAATTTTTTTAGTGGTAGAGCACAAAAGATCAGCAACTGTGTTCTTTAGCAACAATGTCAACTTATTATGCAAGCTGTCATAAAATCTGACAGTCACTGTGTACAGCCTAATGTAGCTATAGTGATCCAATGCATACAATTGTAATTCAGACACTGAATAAATTCTTTATTCCTTTGAACCTCAAAACTATTTGTTAACTGTAAAACGGGATCTTGAAACCCTGATAAATGAGGAAAAGCATCTTTAAGCATTTGCATTCCGGAATAATTAATTGAGCCATTTAGCCAATCACCATTTATCAAAATATTTTTATCATCTACTGAAAGTGCTACTTTTCTAATATGTGTAAAATCATAACCACCAATAGAAACGGTCTCTTCTTCTGTGCATGTTTCTTCTTTAAGACAAATAAGTTCTGCTTGAAAAGCTTCCTGTCTATTTAAACATATTCTATTTAGATGACAATGACTCTTGCATACCACACCAAACTATTTGCAAGATCATCGCCTTGTAGCACACCTATTTTGGCATGAACAAACTAAATTCATTGGATGGATTTCATCTTCTATTTTAACTTCTGAATGTGTATCTTTAATAGTGAAACTATTTATATTTTCTTTTAAGCACTCATTAGCATAGTTTAGTGCATCTACTGAAGGTGAGCCATTACCAGGGGTACTAGATTTTGGAGGAGTTTTATTTAAACCCTCATAGTTATCATTATTTGGTTCATTTTCTGATATCGAGTCTGATGATTCAATAGTTGATATTGAGTTTGATGATTTAAAGACTGAGGAATTCGGAGAAGTCACTTCATCATCAAAACATTGATTATCAAGAACTTCTTCATCAGAAGAACATGTTTTGCAATTTTGTAAAGTAGGACCTGAAGGTTTATAGATTTTAAGATGACCACCAGTAGCATGAATCGTAACGCCTTTATTATTTTGAAGTTTGTTTACTCCATAAGGAAAGCAACTAAGTATTTTATATGGGCCTACAAATCTATCATTTAACTTACCTTTGGTTTTTTACCTTTTTACCTTTGGTTTTTTTACGTCTATGATTTAATTTTAGAACCAATGAATTGACTTTAAAGACCCCAGATTCTGAGTGTTTTTTATCATAATTTTTTTTTTGCTTAACTTGAGCTTTTAAAATATTTTGTTCAGCTTCTTAATTCTTCCAAAGACTCTGTCTGGAAATCTACATCAATTGGAAGATATGCTTGTCGACCATACATCAATTGAAAAGGTGTGAACTTTGTGGAATCATGACAAGATGTATTGTACACAAATGCACAGGTATCTAGAAAAAGACTCCATTGTTATTTTTCGGAGGATACATTTTTACTAGCATATTCTGCAAAGTCTGATTAAATCGTTCATCAAGTCCATTAGCCTTAAATGGAAAACAAATTGTTTTATAATTTAAATAATTTAATTAACCTAATTAAACAAATAACTTGAGATATTATTATCTTATTTCTTTACTAAGATATTCACTAACAATAAATTAACATTTGACTTACTTGTGGGTGATATGGAGTTGTGAGCCTTTTCTTCATACCAAGCAATACATTAAGGGTGTTATTAAGTTCATTGCAAAATTCAGTCCCATTATCTGACAGCAAAACTCTTGGCACTCCCAACCTCATGAAAACCTGAATGATAGACTTATGATAATAGTACCATTTTTCATTAGAGCCCTGCAAATCAGCATTTTTTGTTTTGAACCAAATCTTTAATCAAAGCAGGTCTTGATTTGCGTTTCGAATCACATTTCCAATCTATAATTTTAAAACTAATATTAAACTTTTTTTTTTAATAATATATAATTAAAAAAAAAAAATAATAATTGTAGAAACTTTTTTTTGGTGCATCTTGCCCTGATTAACATTTTAAACGATTGATTAAGAAGGTATTTATGTAAGCAGCAAGTACAATGACAAGAAAACCACATTTTGTAAAAATAGACTAAGGTTATGGGAAGAATTTAATGAAACCAATTAGAAAATATGTATTTTTTTTAAGACCAAGGCCAAAACAATCAAGGCCAAGGCAAAAATTTTCAAGACTAAGGCCAACAATTTCAAGGCTAAGACTTCAATATTTGGCCTTAAAGAAAAGCCAAGGTTAAGGTCAAGCCCAAGGACTAACAACTCTGGTGGTATTTTTATCTTATGTTATTATTATATATTTTTGCTGTTATTACTATTATTATTATTATTATTATCAAAACTATTGTAAAATGATAAACGGAAAATAAATAGCTTGTTGTTGTTGGTATATAACCAGTTTTGGTGTTACATGACTTTTATCATACATATTACATACATATACATATTTTTGAATGTTTTAAGGGGCGTTGTTTGACTGTTCTAGGGAGTGTGTGTGTGTGTGTGTGTGTGTGTGTGTGTGTGTGTGTGTGTGTGTGTGTGTGTGGCAACTCTCGCCCATGCCTTATACTAAATCGCTACTGCATATTTCATTAATCTTGTGCGTTGTCTTTCTTTAACTTTTTCAAAAATTTTCTATACCTACCTCTCTTTTTCTTATAAAACTTCTCTCTATATGCTAATACCCAATCAGTAGCACCTTTATGCTCTACATACCCAAACCAACTTAATTTTGCCTAGTGCATCCTAACAAATACACCATCAGATTCCTTTTCAAGATTATTACTTTTGATCTCTAAGATCATCACATTTGAACTCTTTAGAAAGATATAATATTATATTATTATTTTATCTTCATTTAAGAGTAATTTTTTTTTTTTTAAATTGAATTAATTTGTTAAAGTTTAAGAAATTTATTAATCAAAAAGAAAGTGGTATGTGAATTAAGAGAATAATTCAGGTTAGAAATTAAAAAGAGCAACTTCAGCAACAGTTATCATAAGTGTACTTATCACATTTGGGCTGACTCTCCCATTGATGCCTTTTCTCTTTTAGACAAAATCCAAAAATAAAAATAGAAGTTAAAAATATTAATGTTCAAGGATTATCTTTTTCTGGATATTTCTGGAATTCCTGATATTTTCTCTATTTTTTGTTTTTTTGGATATCCAAAATAGTTTCATTACATATAAGTTTAAGGATATATTTTTGTAATAAATTTTTATATATAAATAGATTTATGTATAAAGATATTGGAGAGAAAATCAGCGTATTAAGTTGAGATTATCACGGAATTTTAAGGTTGTTTGGAAATATAGAATGTAAAGATGCAAACTATTTGGACCCAAAAACTTGATACCCAGAAAGGTAGCATTTAGCAAGGATGCTAAAACAATGACAGAAATAAAAATGTAATACCTTGAACAGACATCCTGCCATTGTAACTGCCATTTTGTCTTTAGTGGCTATTACTACAAAAAAGTAGAGGAAAGATAGAGTGTGTTATTAAATTTTTTTTATCTTGGAGATACAATTGGATCAGCTGGAAGAACAGAAGAAACAACTAAGGCAAGAGTAAGGTTTGCTTCAGAGTAAGTCAGAGTAAGGTCTCTATCATTAAAGAGGGGAGAGAAGAGGGGGAGGGGGGAGGGGCTACTAAGAATTAATTGAATGAAAAAGAAACTAAAAGCAATCAAGGTCGATGATGTTCAGCGTTTGGAAAGGATAGAAAGGATGATGATTAGAAGGATGTGCAGTGTGACTCTAAAAGACAAGAAAAGCAGTGATGATTTAAGAATAAGATTAGGCATAGTGAGTGTATCTGATAGGGTGCATCAGGAAAGATTGAGGTGGTTTGAGCATGTGGGGCGTAAGGATGCAGATGACTGGTTATCAACATGTAAAAAGTTAAAAGTTTCAGGAGAAAAAGGTAGAGGTAGAAACATAAAAACTTGGAAAGAGTGAATTTCATATGATTTGAAAAAGCTACATTTCAGGAAAAAAAATGTTCAAGCGTATGTTAGAGACACAGCATTATAAGAAACATCCAATCCATACAAGGAGAGAAACAAGGACATTAAAATGATAATGATATTTTTCTATAACTTATTTTGTTATATTCAGTTATTAAAACTATGTCATCAACAAGCTATGGCAAAAATACAGACAAATATAAAAATCAATTAAAGTTGCAAAGCAGAAATAAAAACAACTTACAATTTTATTTTTTTGAGCTATATTGCTATGTTATATGTTACATGTATATTAATTTGAATATCATTTCT